AACAGTAATGTAAGTGTATGAAGATCTCAACCCAGGTTTTTAAATATTATCGTATCTTGTGCTAACAGTAATGTAAGTGTATGAAGATCTCAACCCAGGTTTTTAAATATTATCGTATCTTGTGCTAACAGTAATGTAAGTGTATGAAGATCTCAACCCAGGTTTTTAAATATTATCGTATCTTGTGCTAACACTAATGTAAGTGTCTTTGTATTAGAAAATAATTACACATTTGTTCATGTTTAAACATTTTAGGTATACTGTTATTAAAATAACGCAAACGCTTTGGACATCAGGTTATAAAGTAAAATGTCTGGTTCTTAAATTATTAGTTTTTCCATAAGTTTCATCATATTATTATTGTATTTTTAAGGCTTAATTACATCCTACTGTGTCGATCCTCATAACTGTTGGCTTGTGGTTGGGACATCCAGTGGCAACTTGGTTTGTTGGGACCTGCGTTTTCAGCTTCCAATTACTACTGTAACTCATCCAACAGGTCAGTAAATATAGGGGAAATAGATTCAGTATCACATCATGGTATAATTAATTAGCTACAATAACTTTGGTGGTCATTTTAAAATGTTTAAATTTTAAACTTACTTTAGATGTGGTATTTATTTTAAACTTTGATATGATGACCGTTTTTAACCACTATTGTGATATATGATAATAGTTGGCTAACTCTTTCGATTTGACTTTCACTTACAGTGTTACATTCAAAATTTAATTAAATAACTTTATTATCAATGTATGTTAATAACTTGGTATGAAAATGTAGTTTATAATTAAATTTTTATTTTATCTAAGTTTAACTTCTTAAGTTTCAGAAAAAATATTTTAAAAGTCTCAGTCTTCATTTTTCTGTGTAGTTATGAGTCTGAGCTCCAACTTCTTTAGTCTAGAATTTTCTAAGATGGGCCACTGCAGTCAGTAATAATTAGAAACCCAAATTATACATAGTTACAAGCAAGAATCTAAATTCTGAACCTCCTACCTTCTTGATTTACTGAGATATCAACTTGTCAAACCCACCAGAAAAGTCTTTCTCTCTCACTTTAGAGATTGTTTGCTAATAAACTTTACAACCACAAAAAGAGCAGGTTCTAACATATGTAAATCTAATAAGTTAAGTTTTGGGTGTTGAAAGTCATTAGTCAAGGAGAATTACTTTGTTTGTATTGATTAGGTTTGCTGCTTTGGACAGTAACAGAATTTATTAACCTAATTATAGTGACTGAAGTGGATATTTGAAAGCCACATAATTTGTTTTGGACACCTAATAAGTTAAGTTTTAGGTGTTGAAAGTCATTAGTCAAGGAGAATTACTTTGTTTGTATTGATTAGATTTGCTGCTTTGGACAGTAACAGAATTTATTAACCTAATTATAGTGACTGAAGTGGATATTTGAAAGCCACATAATTTGTTTTGGACGCTGAAATTTGTGAGAATAGTAGGCTTAAAGGAGAACGTCAAATATTTTTTCTTGGGTGCAAACAGCTCAAATACACAATGATCACTAGAAATCCTTATTTTTATGTATATTTTTAGTTACTATTATATAGTTGTTAACAAATTTAACTAAAAATGTAAAAATTGTAAACTTGTCAGCTTATGCTAATAAATCTTAGTAAAATGAATGCTTGAGCCCAATATGAAACATGACACTTGTATCTTATGCAGTTTATGTTAGCACTATTGAGAGCAACTAATAGGCTCCCATTGTGAGTTATTGCCTTTGATGCTAGGATTTCTGCTCCAATGCATACAATGATAAAACCACAGAATTAAAAGAACTCGCATGTGAAAAGATTAACAGTTTAAACCGTTAAAATAAGTAATTTTGGACTTTCTTATCAATACTGCAGTCAGCACAGAGGAAGAAAACAATATTAGTCACTTTATTTCATATTTTTATGTTCCAGTTCATCCCAAAGATGTTCTATTGGGTTGAGGTCGGGGCTCTGTGCTGGCCACTGCAATGTTCCGATGTTATTCTCTTCAAACTATGCATTCACAATCCTTGCTTTTTGACATGGAGCATTATCATGTGGGAAGGAGTAATGTCCATTACCATAAAATTGCCACAATGTAGGACACATGGATCCTTGCACTGCAATCAGTGGACCTAGTCCATACCATAAGAATCTTCAAACTCCACTCTTGGGACAGCACACTCAAGTAATAAGCATTCTTCAGACATCCTCCATACCCAAACACGTCCATCAGACTGGAAGAGCATGTAGCATGACTTGTCACTCCACAAGACCAATTTCATTGATCCACGGTCCAGGTTTTATGTGCCTTGCCCCATTCCAATCGACATTGTGCATTTGTTTTTGTTATTAACGGCTTGTGGGCTGCAGCTCTTCCATTAAAATTCATGGCATGCAGCTTTTGACGTGCGTGGAAACACTTATAGGATTGCCTGTGGCTGCTCGCATCTACAAACACAGATTCTCTAGTGTCTGATAGCGAGATGAGGTAACCAACCTTCTCAAGGTGCGTCGGCTCCTGTCAGTCAGTATTTAACACCTACCTGGTCGTTTCTTGGGCTCATTGTCGTCTGTGGAATTCCATTTCTTTAGAACATTGCCAATTGTCAACCTAGGAATGTTTAATTGTTGTGCAATAGCACATACAGACATTTTCCCCAAATGACATCCAACTCTCCTTCCCCTCTGAAACTCTGTTAGCTCTTTTTGTGTACTCATTGTCCAGCATACAAGTTCGGAATGACTTCCCAGCGAACTGCTGATCACCTATATAGGCTAAACTCTTTGCATATTTTGTCGTCACACCCATTTTCCCATGACATTAAGTAGTATATTGTATATATATGTTTGTGTGTAATTAATAACTGTGCATGGTTTGTTATTCCAATTATTATTATTATGATATATTATTTCTGTTGCTGAAAACAGGATAGGTAGACTATTCAGGGTTTTGTGAATAAATAAAAAGTAGCTTTTCTCTTTTTAACATTACTTTAGTTTTTGTGAACAGCTTTACCTCATTTCTTGGGCTAAACTTAATTTTCCCCAGGGGCCAGAGTAAGACGCCTGTTGCTTCACCCTCAACAGCAATCTTCTGTTTTGTGTGCAGTGAGAGGTAACAATGAGGTATCCTTATGGGACTTGGAGACTGGAGCTCGCCAGCTCACCCTGTGGGCAAGTAATGCACCTCCTTTGTCTCAGACTCAGGTAAGAAGACTACATAACTTTCATTTGAGGAAGTTTTATAGTGGGATAGATTTCAATGCATCATACAGTGGCTTGCCAAAACTTGAACACCAAAATAATACAAGTTTATATCCACATGGTGACTTTATTATTTAGTCACATAAACTCTGTGTAAACATTACAAGCCAACAAAATAATACAAGTTTATATCCAAATGGTGACTTTATTATTTTGTAACTCTGTGTAAACATTACAAGCCAACAAAATAATACAAGTTTATATCCACATGGTGGCTTTATTATTTTGTAACTCTGTGTAAACATTACAAGCCAACAAAATAATACAAGTTTATATCCACACGGTGGCTTTATTATTTTGTAACTCTGTGTAAACATTACAAGTCAACAAAATAATGCAAGTTTATATCCACACGGTGGCTTTATTATTTTGTAACTCTGTGTAAACATTACAAGCCAACAGAATAATACAAGTTTATATCCACATGGTGACTTTATTATTTAGTCACATAAACTCTGTGTAAACATTACAGGCCAACAAAATAATACAAGTTTATATCCACATGGTGGCTTTATTATTTTGTAACTCTGTGTAAACATTACAAGCCAACAGAATAATACAAGTTTATATCCACATGGTGGCTTTATTATTTTGTAACTCTGTGTAAACATTACAAGCCAACAGAATAATACAAGTTTATATCCACATGGTGACTTTATTATTTAGTCACATAAACTCTGTGTAATATGAGATATTCTGCTGTCATTGTATTGTGAATCCAGAGAAGTACATATAACATTTAATCTATTCACCTCACATGCATTAAAATTGATTTAAAAGTAGATAACATTTAAAAAATTTTTGTTATGCTATATAAACTTAAACTTTTTATTTTCTTATAAAATTCAGTGAAGTCGTCAAGATTTTTCTGAAGGAAATAATTTAAAGCCAATAATGAGAGTCTGTTAAAATTATTTTAAAATGACTGCATTTAACTCTCTGCTACTCGGTGTTTGATATTTAATGGAAAAGTAATAAGTTATTGGCAGAGATGAAGTGAGAACATCCTGAAATCATAATGTCACTTATTCAAGATAAGGTAACCTTTGTGTTATTCTTTATTCCTTGATATAATATTTTCTATTTTAGGCCACTAACCATGCCATGTTTGGTATGTATCTAAGTCCAATGGAAAGTGGGTCTTTCCTTCTGACAGCTGGCTCAGACATGAGGATAAGATATTGGGATCTAAATTATCCTGCTGACTCGTACATTGTGGCAGGAGCTGCTAATGACCCTCTTAGTCCAACTGTCGTTAGTTACAGGTAAATTTGTTAAGCTGCAATTTTCGTGAAATTTTGACAAATATTATTCTTGTATAGATAATAGAATAACTGAATCAATCTAGTAATTCTTTTCTCTTCATTGTCAAACTGGGATAACAATTATTATTTATTGACATTTGAAGTAACTTGTCAAGTCACTCTTATGGTATAAGTACCTGTAATTCACTAATTTTATTTTTCTGAATTTATAGACTTTTAAATTAGGTGTAATATGCTGAAGTTTTAGGATGAAAACATTTTCACCTGCAAATTTCCCATTGTGGGTTATTAGTGCATAATTTATGTTGCATAAACTTTTGTCATTAAACAACGTAACATTATACTAAATTTTTACTGTAGGTCACGGCTCGTAGACGGAACTGAAGTTATTCAAGAAATGTACACAAGACCACGGACATCATCAACAGATGATCCTCCAAGGCGTTGTCCAGAAATGCCTCCAGCAGGGCATCATGATTGCATTAGTGACCTAGGAATCTTTCAGACTTCACAGTGTTTTCTTGTGTCAGCTGCCAGAGATGGTGTGGTCAAATTGTGGAAATGATGTCAAGAGAGGTAGAATGTTAAGACTGTATCCTAAATAAGTTTATTTTCTAATTCTATATGATAAGGAGCAATACTATATTCAGAACTTCTGCTAACTTTCCCATGAAGAACACAGAAAGTAGCACTTTTAATGTAATTATTATGCTCCTAAACTGTAAAGATTGTGTTGTTATTGACAGATCACGTTTTTCTTATACATGTGTTAATAGTAGTTTGAAGGCTTGTTATTGATTAATTTGGTTTTGAATAAGGGAATGATAAAGGTCAAATGTGCCTACATATTTTTTCATTACTAACAATCTATGTTCTTTAGAATGATTTAATTCTTTACAGTGATTAGGCTAATACAAATATTGAAAACTTTCACAAGAATACTTCTTATCAGTTAGATAAGGTGCATTCTCTGTGACAAAACTAACTTAGCAGAATATCTGCATATAGCCATTGTTGCTTGAGTGCACGACAAGATATTGAACACAATGTATGTTTTCTTCTTTTTCAAATAATACTCTGAAGTAGTACAGTGTTTGATTGTTAATACTATTTACATATGCTAGAAATAGTTTATACATCTTAGAGATGGAGTAATAGTAGCTTGTGTGACATAAGCTCTGCTCTTGTGTTTTATTGGGGTGAGCATGCGTGCTTAAAGCATCTTATAAACTATAATACAGTTATTTCACAGGACCTATCTTTACACAATTTGGATGGCTTTTACATTGATGTGAAGTTGTTAGTACCCCTTCCCATGTTTATACAGTGTTGTACCTGGCATGCAGTTATTATATGCCAAATATGTTTCACTGGCTACTTCTGTATTTGACAAGAGAGATATTATCAGATAATTTTTAATTCTTAAACTGATCTGGATACTATATGTACATACCTATATTGTTAAAGGATTGTCAAACTGGAAGAAATTTGTCATAAAGCTAGAAGATATATGGACCTTTGTTTATTAATCCTTTCCAGCTCATTATCTCGTGAATTTCCTTTGTTTTATAAGAACTAATGATGAAATTAAGCTAGAAACATTTTTCCTCAAATTGCCTAAAAAAATAATGTATAACTGAGATTTTCAGATTTAAAATTTTGTTTTGATATACATTTTGTTAACATTTGTTCTGGATAGAGTAATAAAGAAAAAATCTAAACTGCTAACTAATTTTGATTTTTGACCTATTTGTTAAGAAATTCAAAACTTTACAAGTAATTTGATTGTATTTTATTATCATTCCTACATTAATTAATGTTTAAATATCTGTTTATTCATTCAAGATAAACACCATAAAATTTGTTAGCATATAAAGAAGTGTAATAACTTGCAGAAAAACTTGTATATTATGCCATCTTGCTGAAAAACACCTTTGTGAAGTGAATAAACCTGTGTAATGGCAACTTTCCAGTACATTGTTGAAAAATATTTACTCCTTTTAAATTGGAATAATTAAAACACTTAAAATATGCATGTCTGTTTTTAGCCATTGAGTTTTCAATTGAAGGAACAATTTTCTTTGTTCGTATCATTGAGAACGAAATATCTCCTATATGTAAAATTTGTTTAATGGCCATTATAACAGAGGTAATTGCAATGTAACTTTTTATTCTGTGAGGAACTTGGCCAGATTTATTAGTGGTTTAATCTAATTCAGACAATAATTTTTTTAAATCATAATAAACAGAAGATAATCAGAACAGAAGCACCATCTAGCTTCTTAAATCAGAGGTTGAGTATATTAACCGAAACTTGGAGCTTCACCACATCATTGTAGCTCATGTTGCCAAACATGTTCTATCTGGTGATTATACACCTTGACAGTAGCCCTGCAGTATAGTTTCCATTTATGAAAGGCTCATTCGTAAGTATGTTATGTCCAAATCACACCCATCTTCCACACTTGGTTTCCATAAGCCATCAAGTCTACAAGGACAATATAATCACACAGAAATTCATAAGCACTGTGTCTGGTGACTTGACTGTTATGTCATTATGTTGAATAGGATGAATATCCATTTCATTCTTCAGCTGCTTGAACTACATAATGATTTAATGAACATAGTATTGAAACAACCGGTGTCACTTTTCCATTTGAAGATCCTTCTTGATTATGTTAAATACTTCTGTACTTGTCATCTTTTAGAAGATGTTACACTTTGCTTACATCACAACATGTTGCAAGTTATTAGTGGTAGATGATGCCACCCCCTCAGTAGGTCAGTGATAAGTCTGCAGGCTTGTGACAATAAAAATCTGGTTTTGATACTTCTGTAGATTTGCACTTAACAACAACCAAACCAAACCTGGATGGTGTCCCAAGTTAATCCATATTCCTTTGTTTTCTAATGTACAATATCCTCATCTTAGAAATTCTAAATACTTAATCAGAACATATCTTTATTAGCTGAATGTATAAATATATTGTATTGGAAAGGGCTGTTACATACCCTTTCCAAAAGCAATCAGCTTTTGATGGTATTACACTATCTACAACCACCCACCAATGTAAAATATAGTTCTGATATATGGCATTCCACTTCAACTATATATTGGCTGTGTTTGTCATGTGATTTGCTGAACTAATTTACTATAATGTAATTCATCCTCTGCATTAACTGTTTCTATTTATATATACTATCTTGTTTTACCCAGGCGGACACAACACAGGTAGTCCACAGTATAATTTGGCACTTAAAAAGAAACATTATGATATAATACCAGGGAGAATCCTACCATAAACATTAATCTAATGTAAAATAAAACAATGTGAAGTGGGTAAAACTTTTTGGTTGAAAAAGATATATTTTGACCAAAAATGTGGCCAGCCATCTTTAGGTTAAAATCCTTACCTCACATGCTAAGGGTTTTAAAATATACAAGAATTAGTCACATCATAATGTATTTTTGGTTTCCATTCTCTTATTATTAAAGGTTCTTTAAGTTTTTCTTTTATTAACTTTACATTCGTTGTATATAAATTTTAGAATGATTTTCCTCAAAGTGTGGGTAAGTTTTTTACTACAAATACCAGTAGAAACATCAGTTATTAAGAAATATTATATAGATTCCAATTGTCATGGAATTATTTATAAATATATAATTGTAAAGAATGTGATAATTTTTCCAAAGGTGAAACAGAACAGTAGAATTAAAGAACAGAACACATACACATGTTGAGTATTGCACACATAAAAATAACCAATTTCTAGAAAGTAATTTAGAATTATATATATAACAAAAGTAAAAACAAGTAAAAGAAGAAAATTAAAACCAAAAGAAATTATAATGCTGTTATTAATTGTTATTTTATTTTGAAACCCTGTGCATGTTGGTAAGGTTATATTCTGTTTAACCGATTTTTACTGTCAAAAAATGTTGATTTTATAATAAAAAACTTTTACCCAATTTGAACTGTTTAGCTTTGTATTGAAATGATGTATTTCTTGTACATAAGATGGGTGAATACTGTATGTTTCATTATGGGATGGAATTGTTACAGACACTTAAAAGATCTGAACTGTGATGTCCTAAGAATAAAGAAGAAAAAATTTAAGACCATAACTATGACCTCTAATATAACCTCTTGGTCAGTGTGCAAGGTGCCAGTAGCCATCAGTAGCAAAGTAAGCATATAAATATAATAATAATCCCTGTAGACTCCCACTGGAGCATAGGGCCCCAACACCACCTTTCCCGACGAAAGTTGTTGTTGCAGTAATTTTTTAGCAGGTTGGTTTTTACGGGACGGAGTTGCTAGCCCCGTGCCCAACCCTCCTCCTTTCCCATCCTGGACTTGGGACCAGGCAATGGTGGTGGCATCCCTGCCGGGGAACGAACCCGGTACCTTTGAATTAGAAATCCAGTGCACTATCCACTGCTATAGGGACACAGCAAAGTAAGCATATACTCATGCTAATATGAACCCAAGTCACTAAAAAGAGAGCCAGTCATCACTGTAGGTACCATACAAAACATCAACTTCACCGAGTATACAAGGTATCAGTAGCAACTGGTGATATCAGACAAAACACGTATTCTTTCTAAAATGAAACTAGGTCAGTTATAGTGTTATTAGTAACTGGTATACTAAATAAAGCATATATTCCTTTTAACATGAACCCCTCTTACAATGCAAGATGCTAATAGGCACCAGTGGTGCCAGACAAAGCATGTCCTTCCTAAAGTAACTCCTTGCTCATTTTTTCATGGTGTCTCTAGCCACTGGTGTTAGGAGACAAAGAACATTCTACATAGCACAATTCCTTGGTCAGTATACAAGGTGCAAGTACCCACATGTTCTTCCTAACATGAACCCCAGTTGCTATACAAGGTGTTGATAGTTCTTGGTGTACCAAACAATGCACATAATGGACTCCAATTACTATTAAAGGCACCATTTGCCACCTGTGATATAATAAAAAGCATATATTCTTTCTAAGATGAACCTCAGTCACTATATAAGATGAATTTAGACTATGGTAG